GCGCCTTAGCCACTTGAGCCCCAGGTGCGGAGCCAAAAAATCACTTTAAAGAAAAGAAACAAGGTATCAATCACCTGCACTTGCTGGCTAAGATGCCCGGGAGGGTAGCAGAGAAACACCAGGTAGTCAGACATACTCATCACGTGTTCAATACAAAATAAACAGCTCCTCTTCCACGTCACTATCCGTCCTGCCCCAGGTGATTGGACCATCATGGACATTCTTACTTCTACTCAAAACCAAGATGGATACTACGGAAGCAGAGGCTATACAGCTGGCTCACTACGATATCTTCTATTTTACAGATAAATGAGTAGAGTCTTCTTTGCCTTGCTTCCAGAAAACGAACCTTTTCCAGAAATAGGCTTACAAAAGTGTTCTTCAAAGTATCTCAACCCAGCTTCAACAGAAAATTTCTGCCAATTACATTAGCCCACATCACAAAATCTCAAAACCAGAGATGTTGGCGTGGATGTGGAGAAAAGGGAACGCTTCTATATTGCTGGTGGGAATGCAAACTAATACATTCCTTTTGGAAAGATGTTTGGAGAACAGTTAGAGATCTAAAAATAGACTTGCCATTTGATCTTACAATTCCTCTGCTAGGTATTTATCTGGAAGACCAAAAATCACTTTATAACAAAAGATATATGTACCAGAATGTTTATTGCAGCACAATTCATAATTGCTAAGTCATGGAAGAAGCCCAGTGCCCAATGACACATGAATGGATCAATAAATTGTAGTATATGTACACCATGGAATATAATGCAGCCTTAAAGAAAGATGAAGACTTTACCTCCTTCATGTTTACATGGGTGGAGCTGGAACATAATCTTCTGAGCATAGTATCTCAAGAATGGAAGAAAAAGTATCCAATGTACTCAGCCCTACCATGAAACCAATTTATAGCTTTTTTATGAAAGCTATAACCCAATTATAGCCCAAGAAGAAGGGGAAAGGGGAGAGAGAAGGGAAGGGAGAGGGAGGATAGTGGAGGGAGGATAATTGGTGGGACCACACCTACGGTGCATCTTACAAGGGTACATGTGAAATTTACTAAATGTAGAATATAAATGTCTTAACACAATAACAAAAAAAAAAAAGAAAGAAAGAAAACTTCTGCCAATTAACTCCACCCTCATCTCCCAAACGCATGCTCATCAAGAACAGAGATGAGAACACCACCACCCAAAACAGACTTTCTAACAACTAGTCCAGTGTTAAATCTTTTAGTCCAGTGATTTCCAACCGATGTGTCTACACACGTAAGTGCACAGTACTGGCCTCTCTTGATATACTTATTTTCCTAGGAGTGCAATAGAAATTAGTATTGTCAATGTCCCTGGTGCTGCTACCTCATTTCTAATAAATTGCAGAATCTCAGACACAGAAAAGACATCAGGGATCATCTGGACCAATCTCCCCACCTTTTGCTAGGCCAGAGGTCAGTAAACTCAGTAAACAGTATACAGTATAAAAGCCACATGTGTAGAGATTACATATCCCTCCCTTGCAAGGTCAGGACATGTAATCTGTCTCAGCTATGCCCCTCTGCCACTCTAACACAAAGCAGCTATGACAAGAGATACATAAATAAGCATGGTCGTATTCCCAAAACCCTTATTTAAAAACAACACAGGCAGCAGGCTAGGTCTGCCCAGTGAACCAGTTTGCTGATCTCCATACTAGACTCTCCTTTATAACTTCTCCTTAGACCCTCATAGTTTTTGACAATAAGTCTCATGTCAGAAATGTACTGCCTCCCAAACACACCCATTCCATCTTCACATAAAATCTAACCACAACTGCTGTAAATTTGGCTCTGTGACCTTGGGAAACTTCAAAAGTTCTCCTCAATAAACAATGGATCCATTCATGATGGCCACTAGGGCTAGAAAATTAACTCGACACATTTCCCTAACCCCAGAGAGACGGCAATCCCCAGCGAGAGGAATGGAGAGACAGAGACAGATACTTAAAGTGGTAAAGCTTCAATGAAAGGCTTTAGGAATACAATAGGAAGCCACGCAGCCTGGCTCAAAACCCATGGGAGGCTGCCTGAATGAGACTTAGCCAAATACTGAGGCTAAACTGGGCAGCCTAGGAGAAGTCAGGTGGGAAATTTGCTGATATTAGAAGGGCAAGGTTACTCAGGCAAGCAGCAGGAGGCCAGTGGCAATCATAAGCAAGTCAGAAATTACCAGTAGATAAAAAATAAAGCATACAGCCTGGGGAGATAAGGCTACAGAAGAAGATGTGGACCAGACTGTACAGGGCCTTTTTTTTTTCTTTTTTGAGACAGTCTCACTAGGTCACCCTTGGTAGAGTGCTGTGGCATCATAGTTCACAGCAACCTCAAATTCGTGGGCTCAAGCGCTTCTCCAGCCTCCCAAATAGCTGGGACCACAGGTGCCTGCCACAGTGCCCAGCTATTTTTAGAGATGAGGTCTCACTCTGACTCAGGCTGGTCTTGAACTCGTGAGCTCAGGCGATCCACCCACCCCAGCCTCCCGGAGTGCTAGGATTACACCCGGCTCTGTATAGGATCTTATATGTCCCAGAGAGAGAGGGTGGGAAGCTTCTGAAGTCATCTAAACAGAGAAATAATATAAATCTGTATCACAATAGCTCACTCTACTGGGAAATTAGAAGATCATTTCAGGAAGCTGACTGTAGACAAGGATAACTGCGAATAACTTACTGACTGCAGTCCTCTAGGGAAGAGAAGATACTGGCCTGAACAAGTACGGATTGTAAAAATGACAAAGAGCAACAGGAGAGCAGAAAATGGGAAGTTCAAACTTGTTTGTCTTTTGGCAAATATTTTCAGCACCCAGGATACCAGTGTGGCTAGAGCTTGTTAAGAGAGAGATTAGCAGTTTAAAGGTGAAGAAATTCAAGAGTCAGATTAGGTGCAAAGATCATGCTAAGAAATACAGCTTTTACTAAAACACAATGGAAAATCCCTTAAAGCTTTAAAATGGGAGTAACATGATCTGACTTGTGTTTTTTGAGATCACTCTGAAAGCTGGATGGAGAGATGGAAGGACAAGAGTGGAGACCAGATAGGAAGTTCCCACAGTTGTCTGGTCAAGAAATATGGCTGGAACTTGCAGGTTAGCAGTAGAGATGGAAGGAAATTGATGGAGCTGAGATATTTTAGGCCAGAGATCAGCAAACTATGGTCCATAGGCCAAATCCAGCCAGCCCTGAGCCAAATCTCAACATGACAATTCATTAACACATTGCCTATGGCTGTGTTCTAGATTCAGTGGCAGAGCTGATAAGTGCAACAGAAACCACATGGCCCACAAAGCTGGAAATATGTAATAGCTGGCCCTTTACCAGACAAAGGAGTTTGAACATTCAATCATCTGCTCTCCTGTTACTCTTTAGTCCTGGCCAGTATCTTCTCTTCCTGAGAACACTGCAGTTGTCGTTCACAGGTATTCACAGGGGTCAGAAAGTTTGCGGATCCCTGTTTCAGACAAAGAACCAGCCACACTTACTGAGTAATTAAATGCAGAGATGAGGAAAAGGAAGGAAACCAGAAGGGCTCTCCGGTTTCTTTTTTAAGCAATGGAGACAGTGGTGATGTTTATTAAGACAAGAAACGCTAGCTGAACCAGGCGGGGAGAGTGGAAACGAGAAGCTCCATTTTGGATGTGTGAAGTATGTGATGTCTCAGACGTACAAATATAAATTTTAAAGAGGCCGCTGCAATATATGAGAATGGTATTCAGGGTAGACCTTAGAGACAGAAATTCAAATATATGAGAATAACTGGCAATATCAGCAGTGTTTAAAGCCATGAAACTAGATGAGATACCAGAAAGAAAATATCAGCAAAGAAACAACCCAGGGCGGTGCCCGTAGCTTAGTGGGTAGGGTGCCGGCCACAGATACCTAGGCTGGGGCGGGTTCGAACTCAGTCCGGGCCTGCTGACTACTGCAACAACAACAACAAAAAATATATAGCCAGGTGTCAAGGCAGGCACCTGTAGTCCCAGCTACTTGGGAGACTGAGGCAATAGAATGGTTTAAGCCCAAGAGTTTGAGGTTGCTGTGAGCTGTGATGCCGCCTCACTCTACCCAGGGCGACAGCTTGAGACTCTGTCTCAAAAAAATAAGAAAGAAAGAAAGAAAACAACCCCGCACAAAAAACCCTGAAACAATGGATTCAGGTTGTTTCCAGATACCCAAACATGTGGAGGTTTCTGGAAGGCAATGTGCCCTGAGAGAGCGTAGAAATTCCCCACCCCTTCCCCTATACCCTGCCCTATTCATCTCTTCATCTGGTGTTTATTGGTTTCC